GATTGCACTTTGAGAATGTTTCCGATTCTTACTTTTTGGAGGTATGAAGCATAAAGTCAAAATTAGCCCTGACTTAATGTTTTCTTTTAACAACGTTATTTTTATCACTTAATCTTTGTATTTGTTACATAGAAGCACTTGATTTGGAGTAAGTCTGAAGAGAAACTTGACTTTGTTATCGTTCATTTGTATGCGTGTGTGTGAATGTCGTTTTTGCTTTTGGGACAATGTGAAAGCTTCAGTGGTTTGGCCTGTTTTTTGTGTACAATTAGATTTTAGCATGATAAAAAAAAGAGACAACAAATTAGTATTAAATCTGTTTACTTTGTCTCTGACAACATGTACTGTAAACTTGGAAATCATGTCATCAATAATTGATGTTTGCATGTTATTTTTTGGGTATGTGTGCACGTCATTGCCACAAAATATAAGTTACTCTACATTTCTAACAGGTGAAAGTAGTTGTTTCATTTTCATCTCATTGCAATGCTTGTGAGAATACTTAAATATTGGAGTGTATGATTAATCGACAATGAAAACATTTTGCGAAACGCAGCAAGGAATCATATTGGTTCCTCAACTCAAATAGAGTTGAATCAGTCATTTTAGTGAGATCATATTGCACATTTTAGTATCCAGTGTTCATGCCAGAACTGATGTTTCAGTTCAGATTGTTAACCCTTGTGCGTCAATTTAAAAAAAGTTACACAGAGGTCCTTAGAGGACAAAAATGTCCATGTTAAAAACGGTCATAAAAATAGATATATTTTTTTCCGCTTTCCTTGATATAAATGTTTTTACCAGCATCCGTCCTGATCATAACTACCAAAAAAATGCAATCATTTTTAGGATTTTAACCCTTTAAATGCTAGTTTGTTTACATAATGCCACTGTTTTTTATGAAAAAACATAATTATTTTCCATGTACTAAGCACTAAAACTAAAATCATTTTTAAAATGTTTTCATCACTTGAAATAAAATAAACCTTAACTGAAATTAAATAAAACTAACATTCTCACACACAAATTTTTCAGTTCACACATAAGAACCACACTATAAATATGGAAAATAGTAAAAAAAAAATTTTTAAAACATAGTAAAAATGTTGACGAATGAGAGCCTATTAACAAAGAATCCATAATTTTATGCTTAATGGCACTGGGATTAAATATTGCTGTTTTAATGGGTTTCAGTGGGGACATTTTTGTCCTTAAGGTCCTGAGTGTAACTAATTTTTATACCTAGAGTAAAATAAAATTCCAATAAAAAATACCAATTTTTGACAAAATTTATGCTGTTTACATTAACAGCCAAAATGATCAAAATAACAAAAATGAAAAGGACACACGAGGGTTAAAGAGTGTGTGTGTGTGTGTGTGTGTGTGTACACGGGTGTTTCAGTAACAGGCCAAACCCACAGAAAGTATTTATGACATGAAGGAAAAACATTTTGTTTTACAAATTAGTGGCAACTACCTGATGAGTTGGGACAAGGGATTTTAAAGCTATGTTTGCAGCTGTGGTCTGTGTATCTCATATCTTCATATTGTAACTGTCCTATTTTTGTATTTTTATATGTTTCTTTACACTATTACGAATGACATAATGCTGTTATCATATTGTACATGTCTGCAATGTTTCCTTCTCTTTCTGACTTTGGATGTTGTCGTATTATTGACATGTTCATGTGAAAGTGTCAGTCGCTTTATTCGATGAAGCTGGACTGTGTGTGTGTGTGTTTTGTGTGCATGCACTCTTTGATTTGCCACACATCTTTTTGTATGTACGTATGTATGTTTTTTTTTTATTTTAATCTACATTAATTTGCCGTGTTTCCAAACTACAAATGCTAGTAGTGATGGATGTACAATCTGCCAATATCAGAATCGACAAACTCATACACTCCCGCTGTGATAGTACCTGCAGTTTACATCCTCACACATGTAAGTGGATGCACACATATGCAGTAGTCCAACATGCAGTATTACTGACAGAACAGATTCACATCAACAGTTTTGCACACCTCATAATCAGTATTGAAAATGTAATTTGATCAATTTGCTCAGCTCTTTGGTCTTTGTCTTTTACATTTTAGTGGTATAAGTAGTTGTCATTTTTTTAATTTTTACATTTTGTTTATACTTTATTTTTTTAATGGTGAAAGCTGGTAACCATTGCATTAAGATGTGTGTGAATGTTTGAAGATGTTCAGTTCGACCTTTGAGGAGATGTAGCAGGAGCTGTCTAAAACCTGTTTGACTTAGAATGGACGATTTTGGTTTCAAAAATACTGAACGTTTCTGCACAATAAAAGGCATCATCAGTGATATGAGCTGTGTGAAGAGTTTTCAGAATATAAACCCATCTTATATTGCTGATTAAAAGGAGAGTTTAACATTTATCATGCTAGAAATTCGATTATTACAGTTGTACAAAAAGAAGCTCTCAAGTTTATCATGAATGTGACATTTAAACTTGGAAGGAAAAAAATCTGGGAAAATTTTTAGCAAATAACGTCTTAAATTTTGAGCAGTTCCTTGCACAAAGCAATTATACCGTTTCAGAAAACATGAGTCGTAACTACTTTTGGAGATAATTCGATCTTTTTGGAGCTTCACATTCATAGTCACTACTTTCATAGTAAAACAAAAAACAAACTGTACTTTCCATTAAAATAAAGTCATACAGGTTTTGAGCAACATGAGAGAGGATGCTGTTGAATTTTCATTTTTGCGTGAACTATCCTTTTAAGACTGAATAGCAGTATATCATTCATTCACTAGTAGGCAATATTTATCTTTAAGACTGGAAAAAAAAACACCAAAAATGATAACTAAAAAGATAACTGTATTAGCATCCACACCAGCACATGATAACGTTCTTCTTATTATTATTATATGCAGTTCTGTCATCTGCTGCTTTAAAGGCTCAAACTTGTTAAAGTCAGGTGGATTCTGATTGGCTGTCAATGATTTTATGGTCTATCATCGCCCATCTTCATGTTTTATCGACCTCTTATCTCACAGTTTTGACTTTTTTCCCCCCTCAGAATTGCGAGATACAAACTTTGAAATTTGCAGTTACCTTTTTTTATTCCGTGGTGGAAACAAAAACAATTGCGAGACGTAAACTATAGGCTAGTGTTATGTTGGGAATCAGTAAAATAAAGAAGCAGAAAACAAGCAGTACTGAACCACACAGTTTACTTAATCTTCTTCCTTTATTACAATCCTACAATAGAACATGTATGAACAACAGTGCCATCTAGGGGAGGCCTTAAAAGTAGCACAATTATTCAGACACAACATCTTCCCCTTTTCAGACAGAATATAGCAGGCTTTAAACAACAGAAATACGTATAAGCCCAGTGCCTGAAGCGATATCTCTCGGAAACAACATTCAGTTTAGGGGAGAACAACTGTTTCAGTGCTTGTAAAGATCCATCATATGTATCAGCGGTAAGAGGCAAAGTATTGTAGATTCGTTGTCCTTCTGTTCCCAAACAGTGTATTAGTAGTGCTCTCTTCCTCTCGGCGGAAAACTCCTCGCCACCAATAGCAAGCAGGTAACGTTAGTTCTGAAATAACTATTCCCATGCATCAAAGTGAATTTTCGGTTCACCTGGGCAATCCAGAAACGCTACTGGGGGTTGCAGAGAGAGCAGAGACATCCTGGCATCCTCGTCGCCAATTGTTATGTTGGGAATCAGTAAAATAAAGAAGCAGAAAACAAGCAGTACTGAACCACCACACACAGTTTACTTAATCTTCTTCCTTTATTACTATCCTACAATAGAACATGTATGAACAACAGTGCCATCTAGGGGAGGCCTTAAAAGTAGCACAATTATTCAGACACAACAGCTAGCTATAATCTATAGATAATAGATATATATATGATAGAATAGAATATAATAGAATTATCTGAAAAGCTATAGATAATAGCTTTTCGGATATTTGTGGAAAAGTCAGAATTACGAGATATAAACTCAGAATGGCAAGAAAAAATATGAGTTATATAGGAGTTTATATCTCACAATTCTAACTTTTTTCCCTTACATTTCTGTTTATATCTATTTAATTCTGTTTCTGAAACAGGCTTCCATATTATCGTTATATGGTGCGGTATGAATAGGCCTTAACAATAATGACAGACGACGTTAGGATCACTATCAGAACAATAATGGATGATTAAAAAAAAACAAAAAAACATTGACAGCCAATCACAATCGACGTTCATTGACCAAGTTTAAAAAGGGTATGATGCGACACTATGGACCACACAACAGCCATTCAGAAGAGTTTCTTTCTGTTAGCATGCTTCCTCGCACTTGCTGCTGTTGAAGAACACAGGGTGTTCTTATACGTAGATACCATCAATAATGTCTAAACAGTCCTTTTCTTTAAGTTTTGTTTAGGGAGTCCACTTGTCTTCTAAGGTAAACACAGGACCACTAAAACATGTAGGCAGCGAGAGTTTCCCCAGCCAACACATTCAAACACCTTCACATACTCCTAATTTGGTATAGTCTTGTATTGCTTATTGGGAGAGAGTTAACTATACTAAAATGGAAGTGGTTGGTACAACAATGCCCTACAAGGCAACCCATACTCCCCCACACACACAGAGTACACCCACACTCACAGCTCTGACATAGACAAATAAACTAAATCAAAGATCATTCTGAATATTTATTAGGATACACAGCAGACAATAAAGAGGGATGTCAAATGACTTACAAACATTTAGACAATAGGTATTAAAAAAAAAAACTACAATTAAGAGCCAATCAAAATGTCCCTCACAGTTTAAGACAAACAGGGGCAGAATACAATAACTGCTGGAATGAATGGCTGAATGGAAGGTATTCAAGCAAACCTATGAACACCAGTGGAAGTTTTTGGAATGAAATGAGCCATAATTCTCCAGAAATATGATAAAAGGCACTTAAGGAAAAAAGAACGAAACAAACAAAAAAAAAGCTTAAATGGAAATGAAAAATCACATACATGGGGGGCCTGACGGACAAAAATAAAATAAACGTGTTTGAATTCTTCAACCACTCATGACCATCCTTACGAGTTCTGTAGAAGAAAGAAAAAAACAAGAATAATTATGAGGCAGTGATCCAAGAAAATTCAACACAGTATCAGCAATGTTGCCATGGACACTACACGTGAAGTTCTAGATACTTCTAGACCCATAACAGCCACAGATCGTACTAAAACAACAGACTTCATGTGTAGCTCAGTAACATGTCCCTGCAACAACAGGAGGTGAAATGCAGAAGCCCCAGGATGATTTGAAGGAAAAGGGGAGGAAAAGAGATTGTCCAGGCCTAAAGAAAATTAGAACGAGTTAGCATACCTTATAAAGGCATGGGGAGAACAGATACATACACAAGTACAAAACAGATAGAAAGCAGGAACAGCAATGTAACAGGACTGGAAACTAGAATCAACAATACACCTCTTTACAAAGCCTCCTAAGGTAACAGCAAAAGTTCAAATTACAAAGTAGGAGATTCTATAAAGGATGAGGCTGGGTGTTTACACAAATTTCACAAGCTTGCAATTTGATTAAATAATTATCTTGAATAAATTTGATTTGATATTGATTCATTAGGATATATCAGGTACATGTAAATTTTTCAAGGAAAAACCTCTCATAACTAATGCTCTAAACTATACAGGGAACCCGGTCAAGTTGGTACATTACTATATTAAAGGTCAAATAATAGCCTTTCAAAATTAAGGTAAATGTAACATTATGTGACATTGTTTACAAGCTGTTTTATTGACGTCTTTCCATGATAGATGATTTGTTCATGCTTCAACTGAAAACAGCATAGACCAAAAGACCAATTCTTGGGATTTGATAAACGTTATGGGTTCATCAAAATGAGATATTGACTAAAATCGAGAAATTTGTATTTTTAACTCTACACTGGCACCGTTTTAGTCTTTAATATGATGCTGACAGTCATTTTTCTTTCACAATACCATCAGCTTCCATACACTCTATGGCTACACTTAATGACCAAAATCTGTGTATTGAACATATTTAAGTGGATTGATAACTGTATTTGGCTGCATTGTGTGTATATGGCCTATAAAAACAAGTGCAAGCAAAAGGGATTTGAATATACAACATTAAAATTGTAACATGTATTTCAGAATAATGTGGAATGACTTGTTTGGGGGGAGGTGGGCATCAGGGTGAGCAAATTTAGCATCATCATGGCAACAGTGGGATTCAGGGAAGCCTATGCACATGCAGAAATGCTACATGCTACGCTACAGCCAGGGGACGCAGTAGAGAGGGAGCTGCAGGAGACAAGAATGAGTCAAAACAAACAGAGGACCATCCGTACCCTCTCCTCAACCAGCCATAATGTGGGGTACAAATGCTGTCAGAAGGAAAGGCAAATGGATTAAACACGGACTTCAAAACTTTTGCTGTAGTCTTGATGTTCAGAGAAGAAAAAAGACCCATATGTGATTGTTGTACCTTCAGCTTATTGATCAGGGGAAGTAACAGAGTCATATGGGTTTGGAACAACATGAGGGTGAGTAAATGACAGACTTTTTTCTTTTTGAGTGAACTATCCCTTTAAATGAATGGGACGAGGCTTTCAAACATTGTTATTTTCAGTCAATAAATCCATATTTTTAGCAAATAATACAGGCCAATGCATGCCTAAAAGTCACAGAAGCCAAGGACAGGCCTGACCTTCATTACTGGGGTTGCCCAGGACTTTAAGGACCTCCGCATTGACAGGGTTCTGCCCCAGAGCACGCATCACATCCCCGCACTGATTATACATGATCTTCCCATCTCCTGTTCGGTCAAACAGGAGGAAGGCCTCCTTAAACTCTGTTAGCGAGAGAATGAGAGTGAGAAAATGCATTAGGCGGGTGATGCAGAAAATTATTTGTAGTTATGTGAACTGAAAATGACAATGAGTAAAAATTCATGTGATTTATTCTAGCAACAAGCACATCTTAAAATAAAATCATTAGGCTTCTAGTTCTTGCATGAGGCTTTGAGATCACTATCATAGCACTTGGCAGAGCAGCTTACAGGAATGCGATGCTTCCCGGGCCGCCCTGAGTCAAACTTAACACACACACACACTTGCTGTGATTAACCATATATGGGCAGAAGAGAGAACAAGCACTACATCAACAGGAATATGACACACTGTACACCATGCACTTACACTATGTATGCACTATGTAATCCACCGTTTAATGTATGAGATTTTTATTTTTTTTAATAAACAAGGGGGGATACTACATAACAGACAACACAATAATTAAAAATGTGTTAAAAAGAATATACCAAAGGGACACAAGAATGGTACTGAACATCTTTGCTGTTATTGTTGTCTTTAGCTTGTTAAAATTTAAGCACAGCAGTTTATCATGAAGGAAGTGATAGATCTGATTTGTTGTTATTTGTAAGGAAAAAGTTATGTTGCCTATACTCTCCCTGGAGTCTCTTGAGTTGATTGGTAAACACGCAAAATTGAATAAAGCACAATAAGACTTGTTTTGCTCATGAACAACTCCTTGTTATGAAGTAAGCATGAAATAAAACATTACACTATCAATTTAATAAATGTTGATCTTATTGTGAATGATTCATTATGACACATAGCACATGATACCACGCCACCTCTGCTAAAATATTTGTAAAACAGATCATATTATTATTATTTTCTTGAATTCAACAACGCCAATCAATTTTCCCATTGACACATTCCAATAGCAGCAGCTTCCGGTCCTTCAAACGCGACGCATCTGTAAACTGTCTGCACTTCAACCTCAGCATGTCAGCACCAGAAATTAATATAAAAGAAACCTCCTCATGGTTCTGTTAGGTTTGGACACTAGGTACAGCGAGCACAAGCATGTACACCGTATCAAACCCATCTGAGAGCTAAGCATTGACTGCACATCTGTCAGCCAGTTTAACTGATGTGCAGGCCTACGTTTATTTTGCATTAATCGGCAAAACAAACGCAACTATATAACCACGACGAAATTCATAGCATCATATTATTTCAATAGTCAACATTTATTACTCACCACAAATCTGGTCCTCTGTGAAGTCAGACTGTCCATGCCAGGATTAATGGAGAAGAGAAGATCAGCGTTAAAACAGAAGAAGGTTTGTTACAAAGAGGTTTGTTATTCCAATAATATTCTAAGGATTCTAAGATTATCCTACAAAATAAAACACTCAGAGCAAACCATGCAAGGCACATTTGAATATTAAAGGGTGAGATATTGGACTGAGAGCAGAGCTTGGTGGCATAAATACCTTATGATTTGGGGTATCAATGTTATGTCCGTATTGGTAAACCGACTGCATGACTAATAGGCGTTGCCTGCATTATAGTGAAAATGAGAGATGGCTGGCTATGATAATGTACTTACCATGACTGCAGTGTTTGAGGATGGAGCGAGAGAGCGTCGGTACGAGCGCTGTGTGAATTACAGTATGGGCGCACACTCTCTGCCACACCGCTAGATTCACGATGACGTCATGTCAGCTCGATTCAAGCCGAATCGGCCAATCAAATAATGCGGCGCTGGTTTCCCTCTACTGTCATTACCGGTGTATCAATATTATAAGCGCAATTAAAGAAACTTTGAATACCGTAATGCAGGGTTTCCCAAACGGGGGGTGGCGAGGGAACTGCAGGAGTTGGTAAGTTGATGCACATGAACATTTACGCATTTGGCAGACACTTTTTATCCAAAGCGATCGACTTACATTCAACGTACACATTTTATCAGTTCTTTATACTGTCCCAGGGAATCAAACCCGTGACCTCGACGCTGGTAGCTGCCTGCGTTACTGTTTTGGCTACAGATGAAAAGCTAATATTTAAATCGAATGTAAAATTAAAATTTATAAATAGGGGCTGCATAATTAATTGAAGTAAAAAAAAAAATCACGATATAAGTTAATGTGCTTATCAAATAAAAGACGTCATTATTTAATTAAATAGGTAAGGTGTTGAGCATTGAAGCGCGGAACTGTTCATTCACAGGCGAGCAGCTCATGATCCCACTAGCCCCTCACTGCAGAACACAAGATCCAGGAGGAGTGGTTGGATCCACATCTAGGGGGTGGAGATTGGTAGGTTTAGGGGTAGAGATGGGTGGGTAGGGATCAGGGGGTGGAGACGGGTAGGTTTAATTAAAGGACCCACAGCAGGGGTGTCAAACTCAGTTCCTGGAGGGCCAGAGCCCTGCAGAGTTTAGATTCAACCCTAATTAAGCACACCTGATCCAACTAATCAAGTCCTTCAGGCTTAGTTGAAAACTATATGGTATGTGTGTTAGAGCAGGGTTGTCACAAAATTCTGCAGGGCTCCGGCCCTCCAGGAATTGAGTTTGACACCCCTGACCCACAGGAATGGCTAAATCCTCTTTAAAAAGTCAGTGGTTCTCAAACCTGTCCTGGAGTACTCCTGCCCTGCACATTTTGTATGTCTCCCTCATCTATCACACCTGATTCAACTCATCAGCTCATTAGTGGAGACTGCAAGACCTGAAGTGGGTGTGTCAGATATAGGGAGACATACAAAACGTGCAGTACTGGGGCTACTTCATGGAGAGGTTTGAGAACCCCTGGTTTAGGTATATGTAAGGTGGGAGGAGTTGGATCTGTATCCAACCACGCCCCCTGGACCTTGTGTTCTGCAGTGAGGACCATGATCCGGTGTTTTCAATATCTCAGATTCATCTCACCCAATTCGCATAGGTTTCTAACATTTTTGTATTGTATTTCAGTACAAAAATTTCGCAGAAAGCTCAAGGGTTTGAATGTTTGAAAGTGATGAATTTAAGACATAAATATTAGTATTGTAACTAACTTTTATTGTAAAATTAAATTATAATTATCATCAAATATTCTTTTTATTTTACAGTACAATTTATTTATAACATTTATATACTTCTGTCTTCATTTTTATGATTAGAGTCTATTATTAGACCTATTATTATTATTATTATATTTAATTTGATGGTTTCCTAAAACATTAGTGACATCAGGGAACCGTGAACAAGCAAATGTGCCATTATTAAAATATTAAATGAAAATATTAGAGGGTACTTCAAGTAAATATTTTACATCTACACTCTAAAAAATAATGGTTCCAAAAATGTTTTTTGCAGTGATGCCAGCATAGAAGAAGCATTCTGGACCTTCAGAACCTTCAGTGAACACTTCTTAAAAGAACCATTTTTTTCTTTGTGTGAAGAAAATTTAAAAAATCTAAAGAACCTTCTTCCACTATAAATAATTTTTTGCAATGGAAAGATTCCATGGATATTAAATGTTTTCATTAAACTATAGATGCCAATAAAGAATCTTTATTTTTAAGAGTGTAAGGGATTCAGCTGAAAAAAAACCTGCCATAATGTTCGACAACATCTCTCTCAGACAAGGACATCATGTATCTTAAAAAAGAAAAGAAAAACATTCATGTAAGTGCAACTGTCAAGAAGGCTTGGCAAATATAGAAATGTTTTGTTCCACTTTTTCGTGAGAGGCATATATTACACCTTATTTATAATGAATTTTTTTAATCAGTGCATTATTAGGTTAGGGCTTGGCTGTGTCTTTGAGTATTGTGTTAGGACTATGTGGTGGTTGGGATTTGATCTTGTAGCCAGCTTATAAATCAGGGGTGCCCAATCCTGTTTCTGGAGATCTACCTAACTTCAGTTCCAGGCCTGCTCCAACACAGCTGTCTATAATTATCAAGTGCTCCTGAAGATCTTAATTAGCTGGTTCAGTTGTGTTTGATCAGGGTTGGAATAAAACTTTGCAGGATGGTAGATCTCCAGGAACAGGATTGGGCACCGCCGTTGTAAAGCCTTTAACTTTTCTGAACCTTTTTTTGTATACAAAGGCAACATGCAAACAGTTATTTCTGCATGACATCTAAACAGATGCCTGATCTGGTATACCAGAGTTGACATGACTTCTAGTTTTCCCACATAAAGATCAAAGAACTTACTTTTTAAATATAAGTTGTATGATCATTAACAGGTAAATAAATAAATGTGGAATAGTTCCATTTCCCAATAATGTAATTTACATTGATTCCAATGCATGTTTCTCAAATATCATCTGATATCTTCTGAACAGATCTTCAAAGACTCTTAGAAGTTAGAAATATGCATTCTTCTTGCACTCCATTAGATGGCACTAAAGATTCAGTCAGGATGGGTGTTAGCACAAAGAATATAAGAATGAAGACAATTATTCTAGTGAAATAATAGTAAAGCACTAGATTAGACATGTGTCTACACAGACACTTTCCAGGTCAGATGCTTAACTAGGTTCTCTATAAACTTTGGTATTTGGTAAAATCAAAACCTATAACAAAACAGACCGTAGATCGAAAAACATTTATTTTTGTGATGGCACACAACCAGCACAAGAGTTCAGAATCTTTTTTTTTTAAACCAGTTACATGTCAGTGTCAAAACAACAATGTCTATTAGATCACTTTACAATTCATTTTCTTAATTCATTTCATAAACTATAATTTTTGTTGAGGGATGCAGACAGAGATATCATGGATATGATTTGATCCTGTTTTTGGTTAAAATGACACAAATATTAAAGATGTATAGTAATTTTATACATTTAGCTGAAAATATGATTTTGAACCAAGCTGATGAGACAAATTTCACTAAAGTTGATCCTTTAAGGAAATATATTTTCTCATTCAAACAACTCTGTTCACTCCTCCTGACTGGTTCTCTCTCCACACTGGAAACGTATGAAGTCTAGCACACGTGCATCCTGTAGAGTCAGGTACTGTCCCACAGTATATTTGGGATCTAGGAGGAAGGTCTGGGGCAAAAGTCTCGTCTCAGATTCACCACATGGTATATCGTCCAAGTTGCCAAGAGAAACAGGTGCTTCGCCCACTATATGTTGCCCCAGCTTCCTTCCCAGAGCGTCCATCCCTTCCTTAGGTCCACCTTGAAACACAACTAGCGATCCATAGCGCCCCATCTCAATGCCAACCTGCCCGGGAACTGCTCCATGTACATATGAGCCAATGTGCCATTTAGAGGGCACAGCAAGTGATACGGCGCACCGCATGCCAATGTTCTCACCTAATCGCCCTGAAAGGGGAAAAAAATACTGAAATGAGATGAGAATGATGAAAATTTTTTTTATTATTATATTTAATTATTAGGAGGTAGACAATAGACCGTGTGTGCTGGAAATGCTTACAAGCTGTGCAACTCATGTTGTGAAGATATAATCACATCATGTAATAATATAATTTCTTGTGCAATACAGACTTAAAAAGTCTGGGGTCAGTAAGATGTTCTGATGATTTTAAAAGAAGTCTCTTATGCTCACCTGGGCTGCATTTATTTGATTAAAAATTCAGTAAAAATAGTATTATTGTGAAATAGTATTACAATTAAAAATAACAGTTTTCTATTTTAATATATTTTAAAATGTAATTTATTACTGTGATGCAAAGCTAAATTTTCAGCAGCTATTACTCCAGTCTTTAGTGTCACATGATCCTTCAGAAATCAATCTAATATGCTGATTTGCTGCTCAAGAAACATTTCTTATTATTATCAATGGTGAAAACAGTTGTGCTGCCTAATATTTTTTAAATTTTCCAGGATTATGTGATGAACAGACAGAACAGCCTTTACTTGAAACAGATTTTTTGTGTAATATTGTAAATATTACAC